TCGTCATCTTGATGCACTCAACCAAGCGTTCTAACCACGACCTCGCCCCTCCCCCCAACCATTCGCATTTCTGTAGGCGGGATTTATTTTATTGATATTCTAATGAACCACTTTGTGACATCACAAACCCCGGAAACCAACGCTGTAGTCCAAACGAGCCGTTCGTTGTAGTTCTTGAAAAGGGATTTTTTTTAAAAAACGAAATATCTCCCTTTGGAGTGGACTCCTTTTTTATGCCCAAACATACACACTACACACTGACTAAAATTCAAAACGTGAAAAAGCATAATAGGACCTCTTTAATTATAAATGTATCACTCGCATGAACTGGTTTTGTTTTCCCTCAGAGTTGTGCTGGTCCAATCAGATTGGAGGTGGGTCGTTTTAAGGCGGGGCCTTTCCACTCGGAGCGCCGTCTGTCTCAGAGCAGTCAGGTCAGACGCACATCCCACTGTTAAAGACTCACATCCATCTGAAGCTATGTTCACAAAACACATTCTCACACAATGAGCGAGTCTGTTCTCGAAGACTACGGTAGTCAGATTTTAAGCAGGTTTGACATCTGTGACTAGTTGAAGCGGGTCTTACAAGTGTGCACCAGTGTTATTATAGTAGTGTTTATGGTAACACTTTACAATGAGGTCTCATTTGTTAACATTAGATAATGTATGAACTAACAATGAACATAATATTTGTTACACTTTATTTTAAGGTGTCCTTGTTACAGTGTAATTATACATTTAAGTACTGAGTAATATTAATTAACTACATGTACTTACTATATGGTTAGGGTTTGGCTTAGGGTTACTTGCATGTAATTATGCATAATTAATTGTTATTATAATAGTAAGTACAAGTAACATGAGTAACAAGGACACCTTAAAATAAAGTGTTACCTAATATTTTTGCAGCATTTATTAACTTTTGTTAATGTTAGTTAAAAAAAGTTTGTTTGTTCACACTGCATTAACTAATGTTAACAGATACACTTTTGATTTTAATGATGTATTAGTAAACGCCAAACTTAACTAAGATTAGTAAATGCTGTAGAAGTATTGTTCATGTTAAGTAATATAGTTAACTAATGTTAAAAAATGAAACCTTGTTGTAAAGTGTTACCTTATTTATTATTTATACTTTATTTTATATTTATTATTATTATATGTATTATTTATTATTTCAAATCACATTTTTATTTGTCATATACATAACCATTCATAGTATGACATGAAAAAAGGCTAAGACATGTAAAAGTTAAAGAATAAAACTAGAATATAGGAATAAAAGAATTTACATATAATACAAAATTATAATATAATAAAATAATATACTAAATAGAATAGTGCTGAAATTAATTAAAAGATAAACGTTAGAAATAGAATATGTACAAAATAAATAGCAATAGAAATACATTTTATACTATTGTATTTATTTATTATTTTATATGTATTATTTATTTATTATTTTTACTATTATAATATTTGTTAATATTTTGTATTAGCTTTTATTTTTCAATTTTTAATTTTCATTCAGATTAAGTTTTAGTAAAAAAAATGTATAATTTATTTTTTGTTTATTTTTTTTTTATTTCAGTTTTAGTCATTTTAGTTCTTCAGCTTTTTTGAGTTGTATTTATATTTTATTTCAGCTTTTATTTCACAAAAAAAACTTTTTAATCGTTGTAGTTTTAGTTAACGCTGGTGTGCACCTGGCAGGCAGATTAGTCAACAACTGAAAGCACAAAATTCGATGAGTTTGAGTCATGCAGTCTTGCGCTCAGATGTGTGTAATATCTCTGTATTTCCAGATCAGCGAGACGGGCAGCGGGAAAGTCACTGCAGCTTTACAGGGAGACACCGAGAAAACATACGGATGTAAGAACATACAGCAGTCTGTCCGCTCAAACCGCTGCACGTTATGATTCATGCTCGATTCTTGATTTTCAACCTTTCCTTTCTTGCCTTGCAGTGCTGGATAGAGACGTCAGGACGGCTGAATTCACAAAGGTCAGTTACACTGATTCAGTCTCAAGGCCTGTTCACACAGAGAGCGAATAGATTTTTGCTTTCTGTTTTTTATCTTTTTTTTTTTCTAACAAACTATTAAAATAACCAATAAAATAAGGTCATTTGGGTCACGTGTCTAGGCTGTGAGGCTCATTTGTTTCCTGTGTGTGTGTGTGTGTGTGTGTGTGTG